CTATATTCATATATCTATCTAGACATCTCTCTCTCTCTCTCTCTCTCTCTCTCTCTATATATATATATATATATATATATATATATATATATAATTATAAAGGGGGAAAATTCATATATAAAACTATTTATATATACACACATATACATTCATACAGAGGGAGATATATACAGATATATTGCCGATCCAGTTCCGAGCACAATTCAAAGTGCTGGTTTTGACCTATAAAACCCCATACGGCTCCGGCCCAGCATACCTGTCCGAACGTATCTCCTTCTATGTCCCACCTCGGAGTTTAAGATCTTCTGGGGAGGTCCTGCTCTCGGCCCCACCTCTATCACAAGTGAGGTTGGTGGGGACAAGGGACAGGGCCTTCTCAGTGGTGGCCCCTCCTCCTGTGGAACTCACTCTCCGGGGAAATTAGGTCATCAACATCCCTCCTCTCCTTCAGAAGGAAGCTGAAAACATGGATATGGGACCAGGCCTTTGGGTAATCTGGCAGACTGACAAGGTAATGACGACCAGAATTTGGAAAGGACTATGGTAATGCTGAATGGACTTACGGATTTTAGAACTCGGTGAACATTGGCCACTAGATTGGCTTTTTAGTTGTTATTGTATTATAATCATAGAATCAAAGAGTTGGAAGAGACCTCATGGGCCATCCAGTCCAACCCCCTGCCAAGAAGCAGGAATATTGCATTCAAATCACCCCTGACAGATGGCCATCCAGCCCCTGTTTAAAAGCTTCCAAAGAAGGAGCCTCCACCACACTCCGGGGCAGAGAATTCCACTGCTGAACGGCTCTCACAGTCATTAATTTAATGATTTAATTATTGTGGTTATTGCTGTCATGTATTTTATCTGATGAATTGTTGGCATCGAATTGTGCCGGTTGTAAGCCGCCTGGAGTCCCCCCCTAGGGGGTTGAGAAGGGCGAGGTAGAAGCGCCCGAAATAAATAAATAAAATATTTCTATACATTTATCCATATCTATATCGGGTTTGCAGAGACTTGCAAATATGTGAGGGGAAAATTCATATAAAAATAATGAAAGGTATAGATACAGATATACATGCTAATCACTAGATATCTATATGTGTATAGGATTTGCAAAGATCTGAAACATATGAGGGGAAGACTTCCAAGGGAACAATAATGCTTTTAGATACATAAAAAAGTCAGGAAATTAAGTGGGTTTGAAAGAGAGCCATACAAACAAGGAGGACATGAAATATATCTCCTTTCCCTACTTCCCTCCCTTTTGAGAGGAAAAGAAAACACACTGTCAAGGGAGGGGAAGAGGTGAGAGAAATATATCATATATTGCAAGCCATGGCCTCCAGGCCCCTCTGACTGGCTTGACCCCATTACAAGCCGAGTTGGAGGGGGGGGGGGCTTTTTCAGCTCAAAAAAAGGGCTGAAGAACTCTGCTTATCTTCGAGTATATATGGTATCCAATCTCAGTTTTGTTGCATTTTTCCAAGATCAGAATGACCACTGTGCTACATCTCCTATTGAATCTGGAATTGTAGTAATAACAAATACAAATAAGCTGCAGCTGATGTAAACAAATCATGGCTTGCTATTTCAAGTGAACAAGATCTTCCTGTCTACTGTATATCTTATTTCTCAATGTAGACAAGATACTCCTGAAAGAGAAATTACTATGATATTTCAGCGTCACTTTTCCCCCCTTCTGTCAATCTTCTCTCTTCAGTCCAAAGTCATTGAAAGCCTTTTCCCAAAAATTAACAAATACTTTCAGAGCAGAGTGTAGAATTGCAGAAATAGCATTTAATGTATGGCTGTATCATTCAAAGTCAGAAGAACAGAAAATTATTAGTGACAAAATGGATTTCAGAGTATGCACTCGTGCAGCTGGTGTATGTGTGTGTGTAGGTTTACTTGCACAGTTAATAACTAGAGTTGACACAGCAAAATCTATAGTTCTCTACAAGTGGTATAGATCATTTGTCTTGCTGAGCAGCCTGATATTTGTGACCCCATTATACATGTTCGCTGCAGTTTATAATGCCTGGGTGACTACATTGAGATAGCTTAGTCCACCCTCTTGTGGCCAGAAGGGACTTTTAGGATTGCAGTACCAACTCAAGGGAAAAACCAAAATTCCATGCTAAAGATAAGAACTGTTCAGCAGTGGAATACAGGCAGTTCCCAGGTTACAAACAAGATAGGCCCTGTAGGTTTGTTCATAAGCTGCATTTTTATGTAAGTCAGAAGAGGTACATTTTAAGCGTAACCATATATATTCTTTGGAAGCTTTTAAACAGAGGCTGGATGGCCATCTGTCAGGGGTGATTTAAATGCAATATTCCTGCTTCTTGGCAGGGGGTTGGACTGGATGGCCCATGAGGTCTCTTCCAACTCTTTGATTCTATGATTCTATGATATGCGTGTGTGTGTGTGTGTGTGTGTAATGTTCTTTTGTGGGATTAACATAACTCAAAAACAACTGGGGGAATTAACACCAAATTTGGACACAATACACCTATCAGGCCAACGAGGGACCATCCGTCATAAAAACACTGAAAAACACAGCAGAAGGTACTTAAAAAGCCAAAAAATAAAAAATACATTACAACGCATGCACAAAACCATACACACACACACACACATATGCAAACACACATATATATACACACACATACACATAAACACACTCACAAAACACATATACACAGACTGGGCCACAGCAACACGTGGCAGGGGACAGCTAGTATATATACACACACACACACAAACACACACGGTAGCCGTCCCCTGCCATGAGTTACTGTGGCCCAGTCTGTGTATATGTGTTGTGTGTGTGTATATATATTTGTGTATATGTGTGTTTGCATATATATGTGTGTTTGTGGTTTTGAGCATGCGTTGTAATGTATTTTTTGTTTTTTTACTTTTTAAGTCTATTCTGCTGTGTTTTTAAGTGTTTTTAGGAGAGATGGTCACTTGTTGGCCTGATAAGTGTCTTGTGTCCAAATTTGGTGTCAATTCAGCCAGTGGTTTTTGAGTTATGTTAATCCCACAAACAAACACTTTATAGGTTGTTGTAGGTTTTTTCGGGCTATATGGCCATGGTCTAGAGGCATTCTCTCCTGACATTTCGCCTGCATGTGGACAATTTCAACAGAAAGGAGGAAACCATGAAAATGAACAAAATCTGGCTACCAGTATTAAAAAAAACTCTAAAATTGCAACAGCACAACAACAGAGAGGAAACAAACAAGGACATCTAATCACCTCTCAACAAAAGATTCTCCAGGCACTGCCAGGCCATTGTATGCTAATCAAGGTGGTCAGTTGAAACATTCACACCTAGCTCCAGCAGACAAGAGTCCTTTGTCCACCCTGGTCATTCCACAGATATATAAACCCTTTTTCCTAGTTCCAACAGACCTCACTACCTCTGAGGATGCTTGCCATAGATGCAGGCAAAACGTCAGGAGAGAATGCCTCTAGAACATGGCCATATAGCCCGAAAAAACCTACAACAACCCAGTGATTCCGGCCATGAAAGATTTTATATATATACACACACATACTTTGGATAGCTTAAGGAAGAGTTAACATACCTGTAATGTTTGTTTTTCTGTTTGTGCCGCTGTTCAGAAGATTTCACTTCACTTTCTGTCCCTGTGACAATTGCATTTTGAAAAATGTGGCTCATTGTGGAAACAAGGATTGGTGATGAAGCCTCAGTGGAGACACCTTTTCCCCATGATAACTCTTCCAAGAGCAAAATTCCCTTCCAAGGGGTAGATTTCTTTCACTTCCTGTTGTCTCACCCTGTTCTTAACTATGAGTCGTTTATAAGTCAGATGTTTGTAACTCAGGGACTGCCTGAGTTTGGTGGGGTCTCCTTGTTTTTGAACCATAAGCTGGATGACCATCTACTGGGCAGGCTTTGATATTGGATTCTTTCATGGCAAGGGGTTGAAGTGGACACAGTCCTATGATTCCATGATTTTGTGAACACACTCCTGGCAAGGGAAGCATCTCATATTCACACTGCAACAACAGTGCTATGAGGAAACAATCTGCACCGAGTGTAAAAGGCACTGTGTTGATATAGGACACCTTATTCTTTGCCTAAATGCAGCCACTGAAAATTTAGATGCTGCCATAAGATAACAGGAAAAGACAGTACTCCCTTCTACTGCCATTTCCGTGGACATTATTTTTAATTACATTGATTAAATCTTTTAAATTATTATGTTTCCAGAGTTTGGGGTAAGGGTAAAGGTAAAGGTTTCCCCTTGATAATTAAATCTAGTGGTGTTCCACTCTGAGGGGTGGCGCTCATCTCCATTTCTAAGTCAAAGAGTCGGCATTGTCCATAGCCCCCTCCAAGGTCATGTAGCTAGCATGACTTTCCCACCGAAGTAGTACCTATTGGTCTTTGTTTTTGAACTGCTAGGTTGGCAGAAGCTGGAGCTAATAGTGAGAGCTCACTCCGCTCCCCAGATTTGAACTGCCAACCTTTCAGATTCGAACTGCCTGCGCAATTCTAGGAGTCCCTCCCACATAATTACTAAAAAGTAATTTTTAACAAGCTGTTTGTGTTTTAATTTTTTTAAAAAAACAAAAAAACACATTTCCACTTGTTAATGTCTTGGTGAGATTCCTTCTTGCTTGGTCCTAGCTAGAGTAGACTCATTGGATTCATTGGTGAATGGCGAGTCAACACATGGATAAGTCCATTTGTATCCTCTGTTGGGAGGAAAGCAGGATATAATAAACAAATGCATACATACATACATTTGATTCAATAGCTCATCTGTAGTCAGGGCTAAGAATAGAATTTAGGCCACTTACATATTTTTTTTCAAGCCATGTCTATCTGTTACAATTCCTGTGTCTTCTGAGAAAAGGCTGCTGCGGATTTCATTCATTTCATTTGGCACCATTCTGTCAAGTCAACTTTTCACAACGTAAACTTTTTCTTTTTTGCTTTTGTCTTAACCGTTTCCCCTCAGGTTACAGTAACAGATGGAGGCACCTCAGCCAAGCAATCTACAGTCTGGTTGGTGATTCAGGTTCTGGATGAAAATGACAATAAGCCCCAGTTTCCCGAAAAAGTCTATCAGATCAAGTTGCCAGAGCGGGACCGCAAGAAGAGGGGAGAGCCCATCTACAGAGCCTTTGCCGTGGATAAAGATGAAGGCCCGAATGCGGAGATTTCTTACAGCATTGTGGATGGGAACGATGATGGGAAATTTTTCATTGACCCAAAGACTGGAATGGTCTCTTCGAGAAAGCAGTTCTCTGCCGGGAGCTATGATATCTTAACCGTAAGCATTTATGACTGAAATAAGTGCACGCAGCACATTTATATTCCAAGGGCAAGTTTTAATTTTACAACTTCTTTATGCAGTTATATTCCATCTGAAATATCAGCAAAGATGTCGTACTCAATACAAAATCCATTTAGATGGTCTTCATCTTTTTCTATTGAATCGCTACAATAAATCAATGGTGTTTGACTCTGTTAAAAATAGATCTGTGTTTGGAGAAATGTTGGGAATGAGATACTGAACAACACTCAACACAGAGAGTCCTCAGCTAGAAATGACACTTGTAGTCATTCTTAGGAATGCCATCTTTGCTTTTACAAGAATGCCACCAGTTGTCAGTGGCTTTCCCTCTTCTCTAGAGTTGTTTTCTTTTGCTAATGAGGGTTTATTGACTCAGACATCTGATTAGTGACAGGGAGGAGCCCCCAGTGGCACAGTGAGTTAAATCCCTGTGCCGGCAGGACTGAAGACCGACAGGTCACAGGTTCAAATCTGGGGAGAGGTGGATGAGCTCCCTCTATCAGCTCCAGCTCCTCATGCGGGGACATGAGAGAAGCCTCCCACAAGGATGAAAAAAACATCAAATCATTGGGCGTCCCCTGGGCAATGTCCTTGCAGACGGCCAATTCTCTCACACCAGAAGCAACTTGCAGTTTCTCAAGTCGCTCCTGACACGACAAAAAACAAGTGACAGGGAGGGGTCAATTTCTACCTTTACTATAATTCAAAAGACTTTGAAAAATTGCTGCGTGCCTTCAGATTCTTCCCCATTTATGGAACTCCCAAGGCGAATCTATAACAAACTCACCTTGGTGAGATGTGCTGATAGAGAGTTTACCATTGCCTTCCTCTTAGGCTGAGAAAAGGGAACTTGATCAAGGTCACCCAATGAGTTTCTATAACCAAGTAGGAATTTGAACCCTGGTCTCCTGGGATCCTAATCCAGAACCCAAATTACAAACAGCTTTCCACATTCATTGGTATTAGGTGTGCAGGACCCTACAAAAAGTGTGTGTGTGTGTGGGGGGGGGGGCATATAAACACACATATATTTTACTTTACGTGAGGTTCCACCTCTCTGGGAACCTCTGTGTCCTACAGCACCACTTTGTGGTCAGACACCATGGGACATTGGTAGTAGAGGACCGAGAAATTCCAAAAGAGGCATTCAATCTTATAAATTATGATTATGTTTATTTATACCCCACTTTTTCTCTCCACAAAAGACACTTCAAGCAGCTTACATTAAAAGCATTTTAATGCAATCTAAAATCTACAGACATTCGAACAGCATTATCTCTAATGTTAAAAAAATCAATTAAAATCCATAAAATCTGATTAAAAATATATTCAAAGCTAAAATCACAGAATACCCTGACTTGATCTTAAACACCTTCTTCTTTAAAAGTCTGCCTGAATAAAAAGGTTTTACCCTCCTGAACGACAGACAACAGGCAGGGGTCAATTCTGGCTTCCCTGGGAAGAAGGGAGTTCCAGAGTCGAGGGGCCGCTACCAAGAAGGAAAGCCCGCTCTCTCGTTCCCATAAATCGAGCTTGAGATGGAGGTGGGACCAAGAGAAAGGCCTCTTCTGAAGATCTCAGGGCCCAGGCAGGGTCGTACAAGGCAATATGGTCAGCCAAATAGCCTGAACTTGAGCTGTATAGGGCTTGAAAGGTCATAACCAGCAATTGTGCCTGGAAACAAACTGGCAGCCAGTGGAGCTATAGAAAGTAATTATATTATGATACAATCTGATAGATGAGGTTATTCTGGCAACTAGTTCAAAATTTCACCCCCACACTATCCTCCTTTCGGAAGGAATTGAAGACTTGGATGTTTTGATAAGCCTTTGAGAATGTCTAGGCCAAGTGAGATATCACTGCACTTTTGTCCCATGCCCTGGTTTATGAGTGACAACTTGCATTATCCTATTCCCTTGTTCCTGTATACAGCTGGCCGTGTTTTATGACAGTTCTTTCCATGGGTTATTGGGCCCTGTTTTGAGCTTAAATTATTGTTATGTATGCTATTGGTTTGATCTTTTATTACATTTTGTGTTTATGTATTGTTTTGGGTACATTGTGCCATATGCAAGCCACCCCGAGTCCCTTTGAGGAGATGGAGGCAGCCTACAAAAATAAAGTTGTTGTTGTTGTTGTTGTTGTTGTTGTTAGTAGTAGTAGTAGCATTAGTAGTAGTAGTAGTAATATCCTAGTACAGAATCTAACAAATACATTATTGAGTAGGTTGCCTTACTACTTGCATATTCTGAAGCATCTACATATACTGCAGTAGCAGCTGGTAGCATCCACATTCCTGGTTTTACAAATTCCTTTGTGATTTTAGTCCAAACCATGCAGTGTTACTCCACATTGTAAAGGAATCATCCAAGGTACAAAGTATCCCAACCTATTTGAGGGATGGGGCTAGAATCTTGGCTAGTTCCTTTGTTATTGAGACTCAAGGATAACCTTTCTTTAACAGCATGCCGAATTGTGAACTGTGGTTTTTAGCCTTCCTGTTTATTGCCTTGACTTCAGGTGTTTGCATTCAAAAAGGAGCATTCTGGCAGATGCTTTTGTCAATCAGCTGCACTGCTTTTTAATTTTTATTTGCACGGTTTAGATCAAAATGAATATAAAGAGCACTAGGCACCCTCAGCTTAACACGAGAGTCGTCTTTCTTTTTACTTGGGATGTATAATTTGGATCCTTTTTAAAAATGATTTTTATGTGGAATGGAGTTACCATGCCTAAATGAATAATATACAACGAAGTATTGTATAAGCACAGGGATCATTTGATGTGCCATGGAAATCAATACCCCTCTCCCCCCACACCCTACAACCCTTCTTGTTTAAAAAGGTTTAGCAGTGATTTCCACATAAAGGTAAAGTACACTGTAAACAGATGTTTTTCACAGCTCACGTTGTGAACTTAGTCTCTTTGGGATTGAATTTAATGAACAACAACAGGCTCATAACACAAAGTGCAGCCCAGGTCTGTGTCCCACGGCTCCTGCTTTAGCTGCGGCTGGGATTTGGCACCTCCTTTGGATTCATATTCTCCTGGATTCAATTGCAGCCTTGCGGAGAACATATTGCTCACTGTTAAGGATGGGCAAACAGGTCAATTTTGTTTTCATACACATACTTACATACATATCCACACAAACATGCACATATATATTCATACATACTTAGTTCTTTTATTAAAAACAAATCAGTCCAAATTCTCAATATTTTGCACTGATTACATTCAATGAGTCCAGGTATTTTCAGTATTAATAACACTTCATGGCTCCCAGGAACATGAATTTTCAGGAGACAGGATTCAGCACCTTGGAGAGTAACTTTAAACTTGGGGCTAAAAACTGAATCCAGAAGTATATTCTTCACAGAGGTATAATCTGAATCATGTTCTGTTTGGGAAGTCCAGTGCCAAGAATTGCAGATAGATCCTCGGTAGAATGAGAACTGTTGACCCAAGTTAATAGTACAAGACACCTACTCCCTATAATTGGCTTCAGTTCAGCTTCTGGCCGTTGCATTCTTGATCAACTGGTCTCATTGAATACTTGTCAAAGGCAGTCCAATGTAAAATATTTTATGGTAGTGTAGGCAAGATGTAACTTAACACAGGCCTGATATCTCTAGAAACAGTCACACTTGATAACATTAGCCTTAAATACAAATGAACCCTGGATACCCAGGCTGGATCCTGGAACACATCCAGATTGTGAACCTGGCTGTGTTATGGGGAATGTAGCCACATGCAGTGTAAACCGAAAACCTTTCCCACTCTGCCTGTTGGCTACTGAGTAGACTAGGTACCTCATGGTGATTAATCCCCAAATTAGAAATGACTCTAGTATATTTTAAATAGATTAATCTAGGCCTGCTTTCTCTTCAGTGTAGCAGTTAAACTTGTTCTTTCATCATTTATTGAGGGGTGGAGAATTTTTGACTCGATTGATGTTTCAGAATTCCACTCCTGGAAAGCCCCACAGGTCAATGGCTTGTAGGAGTTGTACTATAAAACATCTGGATGACCAAAGATCAGCCATAACTGCTTTAAACACATATATAAATAATCAAATTTAGTATTTTATATAGGAAAATTACTGGTTAGCTAAAGCTTTTCAAGAGGCATGTGGACAAGTAGTTTGTTTCAGAGTAATGGTTCTCATATTTTGTCCTCCAGATGTTTGGCACTTCAACTCTCAAGAGGTTCCAGGCACTGTGGTCAGTCCACAGAGATCCCAAACATCCAAAGAACCAGAGATTGAGAACCAGCGTTTAAGGGTGAAAATATGGACAAAACTTGTACACAAAGCATTGCCAATGTTACCTATATACTTTCTCCATGTGCAACAGATAAAAGCAGTTGACAATGGCCGGCCACAGAAGTCTTCAACCGCACGCCTCCACATTGAATGGATTAAGAAGCCACCACCATCCCCAGTCCAATTGACTTTTGACGAACCATTCTACAATTTCACCGTCATGGAAAGTGACCGAGTGACTGAAATCGTTGGCGTAGTCTCTGTACAACCTGCTAACATCCCACTGTGGTTTGATATAGTCGGTAAGCTTGGGCGGAGTGCTATCAAGCCATGTTTCCTTATAAGTATTGTCTAGATTTTAATAAGGGGAAAACTAACCAGGGATTAACTCCCCCCAGATTAAAATGGTGAACTTAATATACTACTACTATACTACTTCCTTCATGCTTTGGTTTTGATGCCTTAGCTAAGCTGTATGGCTGGATTGTTTCTTTCTCTTCCATAATATGTGATTGATTCGCAATCCTAATGTTGTCTTGTCATTTAAATTTTCTGACCATAGTTTGCTAATCTCATTTCTAAATGTATTTTGATGGTAACTTAGATTGGCTGTCCCTCATTTCTCTCTCTCTCTCTTTCTCTCTCTCTTTTCTCTTCGCGCTTTTTTCCCCTTTTGCATTCTGTTATCTTGGTTTTGTTTTTTCTTTTGTTTCTTCTGCTTCCGACTGCTCTGCTTCAAGGTGGCAAGCATGCTCGAGAGATGTTCTATATCCTACAGACAGCTTGTGGGCAGAACTGTTCAACAGAAGGTACCTTCAGTGCAAACGCATTTGCTACAGTAAACTTTCTAAGCTGCGGTCTTTTCTGTTGGTTGTTTCTTTTTTTTAATTTCCTTCTAAATATATGAAAATAATTTCCTAAAGCCAACTGTACTTGCATCTTTCCTAGCTTCCTGGGAGACAACACATGGACTTTGTTCATCCATTTGTCAGCAGTTTGCATATTCATGCCTAATTGCAGTCTTTCTTTGCAATCATCAGGGGTTTATTCTGCCAACTAGCAATTTAAAGAGTTTGCAGCAGGTTTTGCAAATCATTCCACAGAAGTTACCAGGCTGTAAATATTGTCACGGCTCTGTAAAATATTATTAGCCAATTTTGAAGATTAGTGTAATTTATTCTATCTAGTGTTGTCTGTCAAGATATACAGAAACTGTAAGTGGCTTAAGATATACTTACCAAGATGTTGAGGACTGCAAGTTGTGGGGACTGACTTGTAGCAATTTTACAACACCTTTGCTTGCTTCCAGTTGGTTTCAAGGTTCTACTGGAAAGTGCTAAAAGGTATAAGTCTAGACATTTTACTTAAAAAATCGACCCCAAACCCCTTATTCATGAGTCAATGTACCTTAAATCTCATTTTTAACAAAGGTACCAACTATGACTAGAGTGGCAAAATGTGAGAGTTTAACCCATACAAGGAGAAGCTAAAAGGGGAAACTTTCTATTTTCTCCACCATGCCACCACTTCTAGCCTTTTTGAATGCTCGGGTGGGAAATAGCTGTGTTGATGGCACTGGCATTTTCCCTTCCTTCCAAAATGACCTCAACTTATGCATGGATCATATGAAAAATCCATAAAATTCTGGGCCCATAACTTCTCTTCAACTTATATGTGAGTTCAACTTATACAGTAAATCCTTAAATGTCCTTTTAGGCCCTAAATGTTTGGACTGAAGACAGCTTAGGACAATCTTGGCCTTTTGAAGCCCTTATAGACACAAGGGGCAGATCTGAAGGTCTGTAGCAATTTGGGAAATGATTGTTGTGGGGATAAGTGTCAAGTCACAAATTGTCTTAGGAAGAGTGAAAACAAACACAGATAAGGCAACTTATCAACATTTGGACTTGACTTTTTGTATAAGAAACTAATAAATTCAATTGATCCCGTTATATCTTTGTAGGTAATTATTCTGACAGCCTGCTTTAAGGACAGGGGAAAAGAGAAAAAGTTTAAGCAAAAGATTGGCCTGCTTATTTTGGTTGACAAGAGATAAGTTATTTTTGCCACAGGTGGATAGAGAAGTTTATAATTAAAATTGTGGGGTTTCATGCAAGCCTTTCCATAAGAAAAAACTTAGAAGAAGATAATAAAGGTACAACGCTAGAATATGGTTCTATGCTAGACATTCTGTGTTTGACAGTCATTTCCATTCTCAAAGAGTTTGCATATATCCCCAAATTCTACTGACAGCAGTGGAGCTCAAGAAGTCCTCCAATGTTTTTAGTTAGGATTGTAGGCGATTCTCCGAAATAGTTTTTTCTTTAATGCATAATGATGCAGAGGAACAGCCAGGTGACTCTCCACTTGGTCATTGATGGAGAAAATATAGGAAAAGAAAGTCAGAAAAAAGAGCTGCAAACCATAGTGCAGTGGTTCCCAACCCTTTTCTGACCAGGGACCACTTTGATCAAGGACCACTTTGATCAAGGACCACTCCGACCAGGAACCACTCTCCATCATTAGTACAAAAGAGTTACAAATCAATGTATTGTTGAAGGCTTTCATGGCTGGAATCACTGGGTTGTTGTAGGTTTTTCCGGGCTGTATGGCCATGTTCTTGAGGCATTCTCTCCTGACGTTTCACCTGCATCTACAGCAAGCATCCTCAGAGGTTGTGAGATCCTCACAACCTCTGAGGGTGCCTGCCATTGATGCAGGCAAAACGTCAGGAGAGAATGCTTCTAGAACATGGCCATACAACCCGAAAAACCTACAACAACCCAAACAGTTTTTCGTCAACTTTAGATTCAATTTGGTTATTTGGAGTGCTGATTCAGAAAATTGCATTGGATAGACCACATCAGCTCTAGTTTCTGATACAAAACATATGCCATCTAGTAGATGCCATCTCTTCGCCCACAGAAAACCATATTTGATAATCTAGAGCTGATCTGGTCGTAGTAATATTTTGTATGTAAGATTCAGCCTCGCCCCTTCCAGCATCCCCATTGCTTTGGCGCTTTAAGAGGGTATCGTGATACCAATTGCTCTCGTTGCCGTGTGGCTACGAGGCAACGGTATAGTAATGGTGAGGCCGCGGACCATATTTTCATTCTTGCAGACCACTGGTGGTCCACAGACTACAGGTTGGGAACCACTACATATTGGGAAGGCCATATGAAGTAAGGGACAGGGCTCTTGTGTCTTTGCATGTCCCTAATCCAAAATTAATTTCTTAACTTTCCCAATTGAAACAAATTTAGGGGCTGCTATAAAATGGAGCAGAAGCATACTAAAAAAAGAGAGGAAACAATGACATTTCTTCATCCTGCGGTTATCTAAGTAGCATAGGCCAGCTTTGGTAGGCACTTGATAACATTCTTCTTCCGTGCAAACAATAATTCTTTCCATTCACTGTCTAACATTTTTGCTTCTCCTGGAAGAGGAGCTTTTCTCCCTTTTTATAGCGCAATTCTTTATAGCTTCTAGCATTCTTTTGGAATTTTTTATCAGGAGAGAGATTATTTTGAGAAGCTCCTTGTTACTTCCTATTGCAACCGAAAAGGGTAGAACGAAAATCTCGGAGGAAAAAAAGTGATTGATTACATGGTGTATTTTTAAAACTCCTCAAATGTTAATTATCTCACTTCACATTCATTTAAATCCCCAATTTAACATTTAAGTCTAAACCCGAAAGCAGGCGATCAAACAAACGGATAAAAGAAGTGAGGCATTTGCTCAGTTTCACTCTGGATCTGTGATAGTCCCAATAGTAGGAAGCAAGATAGTACAGGAAGTGTGTGTTCTTACTCGGTTCTCTCTTCTCTCTCTTTAAAATCTCTTCATGAATTAAACATGACAATCAAACACTCTGGTGAATCAACCACTTATTTTATCCTTCTGGGAGAGTGTTTCTGGAATACTTTCCCCCCCAATTCCTCATTATTTCCCATTTGTGATGCTATGGACAGTGCTGAGATGGAAATCCCAGCTATAATTTCCAATGATCGGAAGGTTTCAGGTGTTAGCCTTCCTCATCTCCTTGGTTTTTGACAAGGCGAAAGAACTTGATGTCTTAGAACTTAATGTCTTAGAACCTCTGGGGCCTTCAGTTTAATTCAATTGAGCTTAGATAGGTTTTCGGGTAAAAAGAGTACTTTAAAAACACATTTCTCGAGGTTTAGGAAACCCCGATGTGAAAAATCCTGGACTAAATGCAATAGAACAATATTCGCTTTGCATAGACAGGAAATGTTTTGAAGATCGAGTAATTTTGAATTAAGATAAACATTGGTTTCTTCAATACCAGTTTAAAACTGACTTAAGTGATCAGTGTAGACGTGCCAATTCCGAGCCATGGTCCAACACCTTGATAGGTTTTATCAAGCAACAGCTTTTCTAATGTATATGCCTTCAAGTCATTATCGAAATCCCTGAAAGAAACCTATCGTGAGGTTTTCTGGAAGTGTATGACTACCCAATGTTTTTCTATGGCTGAGTGAGGTTTCAAACACTAGTAACCAGAGTAACTTGTTCCTTATTGGTGAGTTTGTATCTTTGTTGTCCAGTTGCTGTCACTGAATGATTTTCTAAGAATTTGAAAAAAAATAGGTATTTTATTTATAGTATCAGAAGCGAACCAAAGGTACAGTTGTAATGTATTTAAGAACACAAACAAAGTTAGAAACTTGGCATTATACTAAATGTCCTTTGACCAAAAGCTGGTCACTTGGAGTGCCTCTGGTGTTGCTATAAGAAAGTCCTCCATTGTGCATGTGGCAGGACTCAGACTGCATTGTAATAGGTGGTCTGTGGTTTGCTCTTCCCCACACTCGCATGTTGTGGATTCTAATTTGTAGCCCCATTTCTTAAGGTTGGCTCTGTATCTCATGCTGCCAGTCTGTTCAGTGCCTTCCAAGTCGCCCAGTCTTTTGTGTGCCAAGGAGGGAGCCTCTCATTCGGCATCAGCCATGTCTTGAGGTTCCGGGTTTTAGCCTGCCACTTTTGGACTCTCGCTTGCTGAAATGTTCCTATGAGTATCTCTGTAGGTCTTAGAAAGCTGTTTCTTGATTTAAGGTGTTGGTGCGCTGGCTGTCAATGCTTTGGTCTTTTCATTGCTGGCTGCTATCTCCCCGCAGATGACAGGTGGTGCAATACTAGCTAAACAGGATAATTTCTCCAGTGGTGTGGGGTGTAGACATCCTGTGATAATGTGGCATGTCTTCATTAAGAATCACATCCACTGTTTTAATATGGTGAGTTGTGTTCCACACTGAGCATGCGTACTCAGCAGCAAAGTAGCAGAGCACAAGGGCAGATGTGAAGCGAGTTGCATAAAATTAGTGTAATGAAAAGTTATGCTTTGGACTACTATTTCAAGAATCTCCCAGCCAAGACAGCTGAGGACCATGAGAAAGAATATGAGGACCAGTAGCGCAGGGGTGCTCAAACTTTTTCAACAGAGGGCTAGGTCACAGTTCGTCAGACTGTTGGAGGGCCGGATTATAATTTCAAAACAAAATGAATGAATTCCTATGCACACTACACATATTTTATTTGTAGTGCAAAAAACACTTAAAAACAATACAAGAATTAAGATAAAGAACAATTTTAACAAATATATATTTGCTAGTATTTCAATGGGAAGTGTGGGCCTGCTTTTGGCTGGTGAGATAGGATTGTTGTTGTTGCTGTGTGCTTTCAAGACTTAGGTTGACCTGAGGGAGGGCCGGGTAAATTACCTTGGAGGGCTGTATCCGGCCCCTGGTCCTTAGTTTGAGGACCCCTGCAGTAACGACTTGAAAAA